TGGTGAAAGATTGTTTCTTGAATAATTCTGAACAAGCGACAAGCAACAAACTTCCATTATTTTCAGAGGAACCTAAGCAAAGACCACTTTTTCAAAATGACATTTTGGTGAAAATTTTCGAAAACTAAACCTGTACCGATATTTACGTTCGTGACATGTTTGCTTTATAATTTTGACCTCCTGATGTGATTCAGTTGTCAAATTTAAGTTTTAGATAAAACCAAAATCACCAAGAATCAAAGTTCGAAAACAATTCACCAAAATTTGTTTGTTCATTTTTAAAAATTTTATGCGAAGATATAATCATAATAAAAACTGCAACATTCAACAGAAAAATGTAACAAATAATAAAAATAATAACTTTCAATATTTCGTTGGCCCTCCCCTAACCCGTAATAATTCATTAACCCTCCTGGGAATTCCCTAGACCAAGTTCCTTAGAAATTCCTGGGGTATGGCTTCCCATTCTTCCTGAATCGAATTTACCAATTCATCGTAAATATCGGTTCAGGTTTAGTTTTCGAAAATTTTCACCAAAATGTCATTTTGAAAAAGTGGTCTCTGAAAATAATGGAAGTTTGTTGCTTGTCGCTTGTTCAGAATTATTCAAGGAACAATCTTTCACCATCTTATCTTTTTGTTCTTAAAAAGGCTAAGTGTATTGCCTACAAAAAAGCATCAAATGTACTCCATTAAAAAAAAATCATATTTTTGTTGCTAAGATTCCAATTCGAAAAATTTGAAAAACGTTTTAAGGTAAGACATAATACTTCATTATTTCAAAGTAATAAACGAGAAAAAAATATTTTTTTTACAAACGGGGCTTGGATGAAGTTATTGAAATTTTTCACCGTTTTACATATCACCCTGTACGAAATTTACTTGAAGAACCGTGAGCTTCATATCTATAGCATGAATTTCCAGAGAATGGGGCTAGCAGACATCACAAACCAAAATAAAATCGTTCAAGAAACAAAAAAGTTATGCCGTTTTGAAAAAGGACGAACTTTTTGGTGGCGACACATTGAGTGGTGCGCAGTTTAGTATATTATGTATCAAGTTTGATAAACGTCATTTTAGTCACAAATTTAATTTAGGCACGAGCTAGCGCTTAATTAAGTGAATAAACGAGTTGCATAGGTACTAAACTTTTTCTACGACAAATACTTAATATACAAAAATGATTTAAATTAAATATTTGTATAGAGCGACATCTATACAAAAATGGAGTAACCGTGAAAATGTCAAATTTGTATGTGTAAATCGAAATTTATCCGTTGAAAATAATCTAACAACAGTTTTTCTCGAAAAAATAGTTTTTTTTGCAATATCTTTAAAACAAGCGAACAAAATGGATGTCATTTTAGAAGTCAGCGGGCCCAAAATAACCTCACATTGCGCCAAATATTTTTTTCTGTATGCCAATGTTATTATTATAAAGTGAATTTGAAAATAATTTTTGAACTGTTGTAGTAAATTATACAAGTTTTTTAAATACAATTTTACAATTATTGCAAATTATATTTAACACATTTTCCTGGTGCTCCGTAATTTTAATACAATTATACAATGTAGCAACAGAAGTTAATTTTGTCAAACAAAAGGCTTACTAATCTATCCTATTAAAGGTTTAATTTGGCGGTTTTCAGAGTAATGTTAACATATCCTTCACAAACAGCATTAAATTAATAAATTAATATTAAATAGCGCATTATAAAAATCCTCGTGTCTAATTAAAATTCGTGACCAAAATGGCGTTTATCAAACTTAATACATACTCCTACATTGACAAGCTGTAACCTTATGGCGTCACGGTCTGAAATTGGAAAAAAGTGAGGTTAAATTTGGGTGACAAATAAAATTGACTTTAAAATCTTTACTTTGTTCTTCGTAGTTAAACCATACATAGCATACGTATGCCAAAAAAATAAAGTACATTTTTTGAGAATTCACCTTAATTACAAAAATGACACAATAAAACAAGGCAAATTGTAAATTTGACGTTACCTAGGTATTGTTGATTGTGTCATTTTTGTAATTAAGGTAAAACAAAAAGTTCTTTATTTTTTTTGACCGAATCTGGCAACTCGTTTATAAACTGCACTAGACACTTACTACTATATATAATATACGAGGTGAATTCAGAAAATATCGGGAATTTTCGTTTTTTGAAACAAATATTTACTTATTCGCCTACATTAATGTTGTCGCCTTTAAAATAGTCCTCATTGGATATTATGCACATGTGCCAGCTCTTCTTTAAATACTCGAAACACTTCTAAAACTCGATCTTTGGGATAGCATTTAGTTCTTTCAGCTCTGCGCTTTTAATTTCATCTATGCTTGCAAAACGACGGCCCTTTAAGGTTCTCTTTATTTTTGGGAATAGGAAAAAGTCAGACAGAGGCATGTCTGGAGAATATGGAGGCTGGGGCATAATTACAGTATTGTTTTTGGCCAAAAATTTTGTTAAAAATTTAACAATTTTAGAACAAATTTTGCGGATGAGCCAATCGATATACCAACATCATCAGCGACTTCTCTGATGGTTTATAACCATAACGGCCATCTTGGAAACTCTTATACCACTTGTAAACTCTTGTTTTACTTATAGCAGACTCACTATAGGCCTTTGTTAACATTTCACAGAATTTATTTCATTTTTTTAATTTAGATACAGATTCTTTGATCCATTTCTTTTAACGAACGAAAAATCGCCGAGCTCATAAAACATGTCTAACCTTAGCGGCTGCCACAGACAAAGTAAACAATGAAAACAGCTAAAGTTTTTATCATACTTCAGGGGCATGTATACCAACATAATAAAGAACATTTTATGACAACCGGACCCTCTGAACCCGCGAAATTTAACAATTCCTGTTATTTTCTGAGCACACCTCGTATATATGTACTACTGCATTACATTTTAAGCATACAACAATAATTTTAATTCCATATAAAACCACCAAAAAAATTTGTGTATTTATGTGATGTTCGAATGTATTTGTGCAAAAACTATTGTGTTCAATACACGCGAAAAATATAGTCCACATTTAATACCTATTGTTTATATCAAGCCCAAAACTAATCGGATAAACATTGGAAAAACAAAAAGGCCGTTGGAACAAGAGGGAATTTATTTTGAAATTTACATACATGTATCCCTTTATATGTTAATAGTTTATAAATATGTGAAGCAATAAATTTTACATTTGACAGGATTAAATATGAAATAATTTTGAAAATTAAAGCACATGTGACTCGTGGATTTTGTTTCTAAAATTTGTAATAAATCATTGCTTTGTTTTGAAACATTTTATACTGAACTGCATTTTTTTACATATTTAGTAATTTTTAACTATGATATATTTTAAATTATAAAACATAAAGTTATAAAAATGCATATCGTGTAGTTAGAGAGATGGAAATATAAAGTGGAACAAGGATGGCTAGATTTTTTCTTTGCAATATACCCTCTCCGGATTTGTATATAACTCCCTCTCACTTACTTCTCGTTTTTGCAATATTTTCTTGTAATATTTTTTTGTAAAGTGTTTTTGTACTATTTCGTGGAAAGCAACCAGGAACAAAAATATAAAATCACAAAAAAATATTTCACGACCTTATCTTTTTTACCTTGTTATATGAATAATTTTGTCTGGTTGCCTTAACATTGCGTAAATTAAAATTAAATAATTAAAAGTGTTCCGCCTGCTTAACTAATATATTGCACAAATTAAATTACCTGGCCATAGAGCGGATTTATATGCGAACTCGAGGGAGCAATATAAGTATTGCAAAGATTTATAAAGTTGTTAAAATGAAGTGTAATAAAATTCATACAAATTTTAAAATCTTTGCTTATGAAGTCTAGCAGTTGTGATTGGTCACTCGAGTTATGACGTCACATTGTCTGCCTAATGTATTCGCTTGTATGGCAAATCAATTTTGTTCTATAAAAAGTGTTTGTATAAAAAATACTACCCAAATTTTAATCCGAGTTCATCAAAGCAGATTCTCTTGGATATTTACATAAAATACAATATTAATTGGTACAATAATAATCCCAAATAGTTAGTGTACGACTGACATTGATTGTATTTTATTTAGATGACAAAACACTAGTGGGCAAAATAGAATTTCGACCTCGAGCTAAAGTCAAAATTTTAAAAAAGTGGGGTTAAAACTGCTTGACAGCTGTCAGATGTCAGATAATGTATCAAATAAAATTGGTGTAAATCTCCTCTTTCTCCTATTGCATAATATTCACATTACTTGGATTCTTTCCGTTTACAATGATGACCATTATAACCGCCCCGCCTAACAACGGGAATTATGAACTCAATATTCCCGTTGTTAGGCATAAGTAATTGGATTTCATTATTCACTGTGATTTGGACCAATCGGGTAGTTGTAATGCCAAAAACATCATAGTCGCCCCTGATAAACTAAATAAAATCTGGCATCTGTCAAATGATCTAACCTCACTTTTTAATTTCCCTTATTTCTTTATATTTATCCCAATAAAAATTATAGGAGTGAAAAAAATATACTATTTTAATGCGATCGTACACAAAACACTTTCTTTGACCCGGAGAAATATTATTTATGCAATAAAAATAATAATAATAAGTAGTAAAACTGCTGACTTATGAAAACCCATAAATCGAGATTTTAATCTGTGTAATTTTTTAATTCAATATATCATTTAACAATGAGAAAATGTAAAACTAAACGAAACATTCCAAAATACATACACACAAATATCTAGCAACGGTGCATTGTTCGAATAATTCGTAGTTTCACGAAATCCGAAATAATAAATATCTCACAGACATAATAATTTAGCTTAAGATGCTCTAATTTCCTAACGTTTCACATTTTATTTTCGAACATGGCATTAATTAAATTTTGATGTTCTTCATGGTTTAAAGAGTTATTCATTAGCTAATCGCGTTATAAAAACCGAAAATTCCCCCAAAATATTATCAGTAGTAGTAGCGACAGTCTCAGTGTTAACATTTGAGAGGTCGAGTTCTATCTAAAATAAAATGCTACCCTTAATCGTTCTAAGCATTTTTTCTTTTGCCAATGCCGGGTATCCAGTGCCCAGCAATTATTTGCAACATGGTAGTTATTATTTACAACACGGTGGAGCGTATGTGCCCTATCAAGATCAGCATGTACCAGTTATCGTCAATGGAGTCCCAGTTGAGACCCCTGAGGTACAACAGGCTAAAGTTGAGCACTTTGCAGCTGTAGCCAAGGCCAAAGCTATTGCAGCTCAGAATTTGAAAACTCAAGTCATATATGCTGGTAAGTTTGTTTTGTTGATATTTTGTTATTATATCGCTTTTAATTCAATTTTAATATATTTAAGGCAACCACAATACTGGACATTATGATAACACCCAATACCATGGAAATACTGATCATACCGGTCATTCCTCTGAATATGCTGGTCATTCCTACGTCAATGTTAACGGCAAAAGCCACGGCTGGAGATACAAGAGGAGCATTGACTTGGGATGGAACCAAATCCAACACATCCCACATATCACGAAAGAAGGAGTACCATTGGAAACCCCAGAGGTATTTATTAGTCAGTTTTAAACAATATTCAAAAAATAACATACTTATAAAATCTAGGTACAACTTGCCAAAGCTCAACACCAACAAGCAGTGCACTTGGCCCACTTAGAACACCAAAAATGGCAACCAGAAAATGGATGGACTCAACCTCAAGTCAACTCATGGGCTCCACAATCATCAGGTTGGAGAAAACCCACTGAAACCAGCTACAAAATCAACCATGGAAGTTCTTACCACAACCAATACCATGGTCCACAACATTACCCAGTCTTGGACAAACACGGCGTCCCACTAGAAACCCCTGAAGTCAATTTGGCCAAACTTCAACACTACGCAGCAGTCCAACAAGCCAACAGCAAGCAAGCTCTAAATCCATGGCAAGAGGAGCAAAACGGTTGGGCCAACAACGCCTGGACTGCCCCTCAATCCGATGGTTGGACCAACGCATATTTGCCAACATACAACCAACACATCCCCAAAATTTTGCCCAACGGAGTACCAGAAGATACCTACGAAGTTCAAGCTGCTAGAGCCCAACATTTGTTGGCTCATGCTCAAGAAAAATCCAAACACGCTGGTTGGGAACAACCTCAATGGTGATTTAAGTCTTATGTGATGGAAAAATGCTCTATTTTTGCAAATAAAATTATTTAAAAACCGTTAAAATGTACTTTAATTAGAAACATACAATCCTGAGATATAACTTAGTCCTATGGTAAGTTTATGTGAGTTTTAAGTAGGAAATTTTTATACTTTAACAATAAGACAGTTTTAGGGAATTTTAGATAGTTATAAGTCAATTTTAGAAAGTTTTAGGACATTTTAAAATAGTTTTTTATGGTTATGAAGATTCTTAAAGATATTTGGACATTTTTAAATCTATTTTCAAATGTTTTATATTTGAATTTATTTTATATTTATGGGTGATTCTACAAAAGTTGGAAAACTTGATGTCATCAGTCAATAGAGTGGGTATTTTAATATTTTTTGTAAATATTTTAGTATATTACAAAAGATCCAGGTTTTTTTTTAACTTGTCCACACAATTTTAATGTATTTTTTCAAAAGCACGTTTGTAAAAAAACATAATAAATATTCAAAACATCAGTACCTTGGCGTGTCACAACTCCTGAATCAAATATTTGAGTGACTTTATTTTAAAACATATTCAATATTTTTCATTTTTACTACAAACTATAAAACATTAAATATTATATTCTTCATATTTTATCATAGATTCGAATAATAGCAATTTTTTAAAAATTGATAATTTTTGTACTCACTTTTACCCGTCACTTCGGTGTTGGTAAAAAATTACCTACCCTTTGCACGGCAGTCATCTTGAAAACAATGCAAGCGGCGAAGTTGTGGTGAATGCACGTATAGTTCCAGTCAAAATTTCAGTACTGTGGTGAGTAGTTATTTTCTTACGTATATATATTTAATTGTAATTTATAAAAGGCTATATGTGATTTGTTGATAAGTAGCATCCACTAATAAAAAGTATCAGTAAAATACTAAATTCCGAATTATAATCTCAAATTTGTATCCCATTCATCAGTACCGTGTCGTCAGTTCCATGTTCGATTTTTCGGTTACCTTTTTTTCGCAAACTTCAATTTAAATTCTGCTTGCGCAGAACTTGTTTATTTAATGTCATTATAAACTCATATAAATTTGGCGTGGGTCCCATCAAAGATAATATAATAATATAATAATGGGTCCCATATCTAATAAATGAGATATCGGTATACCCAAAATCCACCGGCCGCCTCTGATGTGTGATATTATTTGATTTTAAGATAATTATTTTATAATATGCTCAAAGTTGCAATAAATCTTATATTTTCCAATAAATTATGTATTTAATTAGTACCCCTGGTATACTCGTCACTTCCCTTGCATTCAAATTTAGAAAACACAGATATTTCAGAAAATGTTTGAAAAAGTGACTGTCCTGGTCTGGAACAGTATATTTATTATATTATTTATGTTCTAATAACAAAATACTGTTTAATTTTCTCCGAAAACTATATAAACAACATGAGGTCAAAAGTTGCCCAACTTTTGTAGAAACACCCTTATATTTGAATTAGTTGTAGTTTTGCGCGAATTCTCTTAAATTGTAGTGCATTTTTAGACAGTTTTAACATGGTTTTTATGGCATTATATTCAGTTTTTTTTAATTTTTTAGACATTTTCAGACAATTTTAAAAGTTTATATGTACTTTATTTAGTGATTTTAATAAATTTTTATAAAATTGTATAGTTTTAAGATGATTTTAGTATTTTAGACAGATTTAACAATTTATATATATTCCAAAATTAGTTGTGATTACTAGAGATTTAGCTATTTGTCTACACTGAAAGAAATATATACTAAAGTTAAATAAAAAAATAATTAGGGCAAATATATTTTATGTTTCATATATGGACTACCACATACATTGCTAAAACAAATATATTCGTTTGGTTAGCAGCCTATTGCTGCCCTAGCAATATAAATGTGTTTCTAGCAATATTTTTTTGCTGTAATTCACTTATAGTTTACATTTTATAGTAAGGGTAAGTTTATTTTTATTTAGATCTAACATATCTTCTTTACAATAAATGTGTTACAAAATTTAACATACATTCATAATAAACAGTAGTATAAATGTGTAAAGCACTAGTATAAAATTTTTAGTATAAATTTGTATTTACTTTTAGCAACAAATTTCTTTCAGTATACGCTAATCATAACTTTGGGCGTAATGAAATAAAATTTTAAAGAAAACTATATTAAAACCATAGATTTTATCTAGGATTAAAACTTATCTTTCAGTTGACAATAGTAAATAAAATCCCCATGTTAGTTAATTATTAAAATCGCTAAATAAAAGCCAAAATCGGGAAAATATTATAAAACTCTTTCGCCGCTTGTGGCCAAATTTCGAATTCGTGCGGTAATATAAAGCCTTATGAAACTTGAACTTTAATATACTACTATTTTGAAATGTTTAACTAAAAATTTTAAACAATTGTGAATACTTTTAGGGGCGTAAAAGTCATTTATTTGTCAATGTTTGTTAAAAAGAATATAAATAATCTTAAAAGTCAAGAACTTATAAAATAGTTTGACATTTTTAAAACGTTAATGTTACCAAAAATCCTTTAAGAATGAGATTCATTCTTTGAGAATACAACATTTTTACAACAAAATCGAGAAAATAATTTCATTTGAGCCTTATTTTGTTTTACCTATTTTACCTAAATTTTTATTTTCAAGAGAAATGGACCTATTTTTTTAATTTTACTACATAAAATAGTATGATTTTACCTATTTCACCTACATTTTTTTTTTACAAAAATAAATAAAGTTTTACCATCAACAACATGTATTTTTGTTATATTGGGGTTGTATTTGGATGACATAAATTATGTCACATAATTCTTATGCACTAGGTAGTTATTTTTGTTATACCGGATTGGTAATGTGGGTTGGTTGGTAGTGGTTGAACTGGGAATCGCGAACAGCGACGCGAATGTGGCATTCCTGTGCAATGTTGCCAGGTCTCATGCCTTTGAATAAGGTCTTAAGTTTTTCCAATCAATTTCATGTTATCATGTTTTATTTATAGATCCCATGCATTTTCACAAATTCTAGCAAATGTGTGCTGTTTCTTCAGAAAGTATTTTTTAAACATTTCTATCATAATTAATGGGAATTTTTTATGCTTATGCTTATTTACAAAAATATTTTCGTTGGTTATTTAGGTACCTATTTTTATAAATGTTGCAACCTAAAATCCCATCTCTGGTGATTACCTTTATTAAAAATTAATCTTAACTTTTTCAACAAAATTAAAACATTTGCAAATTTAATATCGCATGTAATAAATAATAAAATGCATCCAATGCGTTCACAGATAAATTCATTAAAATTTTACGCTATTTAATTAAAATTTAAACCGCCGTTCTAAAAACAAACTTGTTTATTTATTATTCATTATTGGAAATTAATAATTAAATTTATGTTTAATAAGCTTTCCTACAAACAAGTTTGTAAATATTATTTTAATTCAATTGTATTTTAGCTATTAAATTAAGTATTTATTTTAATTTTTTTTAATATAGAATATTAAAATAGTTAAAAATTTTTACTTATACAATTATATAATCAAAACATTATAATATATTAAAACCTATAAATTTTCCACTTTTAATAATTAATATCCCCGAAACTATAAGCCCAAAAGGTATAAATCTGCCTATTGCTAAAGTCACAATTTCATAATCTATTCAAATCTTCAAAATCTTTTTAAGAAAAAAAGCCGAATGTTGCAATAAATTCGTTCCATACTATTGCCGCTCACTGTACATCTATATTATTAAGGAGGACAAAGATCACTGGAAACAGTTTTCTTAGCCATTAAAAGCATCCTTTATTTAGAGGTTTTTGATTTTAGTGTTTAGTAATCTTAATATTATAAACGTTTTATTATTGACATCTAAATGTTATCAGATTCAAAAATTCTACATTAAGATGTCATAGAATAAGAAAAAGACTTGTTGAGACAAAATATTTAAAACTTTAAATAGATTTAATACGAGTATTGTATGCAACCAATTATACATTTTAAGATGTGTCTACTGCTCCTCAGCAGCAACTAAATAATATTTTTTAAAAGCACCGTTGCGGAGGTCGATTGGACCCTTTCATAAAATGTTGTTTAATAAAAATAATAAGTTAATTTTATTAATTAGGTTAAAAACAGTATACGTAGACACTTCCTACATTCAAATGACATTTGATATCAATATTAATTATTAGTATTATTAAATGTGATTTCGGAAAAAATTTAATATGCACCTCGGCATTAAAGTCATTTTTTATCACTCACGTGGTTTCGCCTCGGCAAATAATTTCCACATTCGTTATAAAGAATACGACTTTAGGGCAATTCCATGCGTAATAGCGTAATTTTCTTCAAATTTATATCAATCGAAATGTTCCAAATGTTATTAAACTAGGAGCATACATGTCTACTTGTGCCTAGAAAATTATTACTTTATTTATTTAACCCAATATTCCATAAAATTTTAAATAATTAAAAAGTCTTAACTGCTTTTGAATTCTGCACTAAAAATATGTTATGTCCCATGAGTTATCATATTAACCAATTTTTTTAAAACCTCACACAATCCATGCAGTTAAGTTGATTGTTTTTTTAATACACTATAGGCAAAGTATATTTTTAAAATAAGATTATGTTTCAAACAGTTTAGGATTTAGGAAAAAGGTTGCTTCATTTAACCAATTTTTTAAAGAAAGTTTTTCGTGTCCCATGAGTTATCACACGTTTTGTCTGCATTTTGTCTAGAGATCAATTGGTGAACTTATTCAAAAATGTTAAAAATGTACATTGGCCTATCCTTTAAAGTTTAAACATTTTATACATTCCTAATAAATATAGGTATTCTGGTATACCAAGTTAAATTTTATTTCTGTCATCTGAATGTCCCGTGAGTTATCATGGAATTGCCCTTTACTGCCTTGATACATAAATAACTTTTTTATACTAAGTAAAATAAAATCAACAAGAACAAGGAAAATGGTGCAATCTGATTGGCTTACCAAAAAAATGCCGTATCACGCTTAGTTAAGGGATTCGTGGTTTGGCCACTTTTTGACATTCCAGTCCACTGGACTAAA